TGTCCTGGACCTGACTCAGAAGCTCAGTGGACACAATATCATGTGCAACAATTACCTCGCACAAGCTGGGACAGGAGCTCCTGAAGAGGAAGCTGACCATGGTGGGAACTGTTCGCAAAAACAAGTCAGAGCTCCCACCTCAACTATTGATTACAAAGGACAGGGCTGTGAAGTCTTCCAAGTTTGTGTACACGGCTGACACGTCCCTGGTGTCCTATGTGCCAAAGAAAGACAAGAATGTTGTTCTGATGAGTACACTGCACAGGGATGGGAAAATCTGTGGCCAAAAACCACAGATCATGTGATGTATAGGTTTGTCTGTGTTCAGTGGGGCTGTGTTGTGTAGACCAAAATGGTTAGTGTGTGTTCAGCTTGTGCTGTGGAAACTGTCCTGAATGTTTGAAATGACTGAGGTTCAAATAAAAGTCAGCAGTTGTGAAAAATCTTGCTTTATTTGTAAATTTGTTGCTTCGTCTAACAAAAAAATGAGCATAATACAGTTTTAACCCTTATGTAATGTAATTTAACAAAGGTAAAGGGCAAATGTAAACATCTGTTGATTATTAGTTGATTATTACATTGTTTTAGATTAAAATTCATTGTTTTAGGTTAAAATTCTTTGATTATGTTGAGTTACAAAGCCAAAAGATGATGCAGGTGCAGGACACCCACGAACACCACCAGTATAAACAAAACATGAACAGAACAGCAGGGTTAAACTCTGTCAAGGCAGACATCCATCCTTGTTAGCATTATTATAAATAGATTCTCTTGTGATTGTAAACACAGTATCCTGAGATTGTCCTGGGCCAAGACAGTACGCTTTCTATTTACATCCATGTGCACTATAGTCTTCCACAATGTGTCCTTGGTCAGTTTTAATGTTCATGTAGTAGCTTGTATCATCACATTCACTTTCAGTTCAGTCAATTCATAAAGTATTACAACAGTAATATGATGATGCATTGTAAGAGCTTGTTGTGATCCTCTCGTATTAAATGAATTGAGAGAGAATTTATGAAATCCTGATTGCCTGCATAAGTGTGTGTGTTTGTATGGAACAAGCATCTCCTGCGCTCTCCCCTGTTTTGCTGAGTGATTGCGTGGAGTTAGCTGTGTGATTGCAGTGAAACTTTTTTCTTTATCTGATTCTCATTAAGTCTCCAAGAGAAGAAACACACCTTCCTGTTCCAGAGCTGCTACGCTTGATTCAGGGAGCTCAGTACACTCTACAGTCTTGCTCAGTCCCCCACACACCTACTGTTTGCACACAAATCACAAATGCATAAATGCTCTGTACACACCAGTCAATATCTGTCTGATGGGAAAGTCTTCTCTTTGAGACTTCCATATATATACTTTTATAATGCGTTCAAAGGTGGAATATATGAGTTTTGACCAAATCCTCTGCACATTAGATGTCTTTTATCTCTGTCCATTGAAATGAACTAAACAACTAGTCTATACAACATGTTTTCTGCCTTAGTCTAATAAAATGCACTGTGCAGGGTCATCAGATGAAGTCACACTCTTCAATTTAAATGATATTTGGTTATACAGGGAAGATTTGCTGAGCAAACATGAAGAGCAACAAAAAGTAGAAGTGGGAAAATGTAATTTTAAAATAATTTCCATTTACAGTAAATCGATTTTGCAAGGATTTGTCAAGCTGTGTGTGCAGATTATTTATACAAATGTATTAGGATGCTTTGATCAGTACCTTAGCGTGCAGGTTTAGGCAAAACCAACGAAGCCCCTCCAATGAGATGAACTTCTTTTTGCTTTGTAGCATGAAAATGTTCACGTATTTTCAAAAATTTACATCATCTTAGACAACTTTATAATTAGCTACTCTGATTCTTCTGCTGGACTTGTCTGCCAAAGGAAAGGCTTTCAGTGACACAGCTTTTTGGGCAGAGTTCAGCCGTAAACGTCACCTGTGTTTGAAGGACTACAGCTGCCAGCAGTTGGGTGATTGCAGCTGATGTCCCTCTCAGTGGTGCAGATGGCTCGCTGCAGCTTGTCCTTGGGGTGAGGAGCTGCTTAAATGTACCAATGTGGGTCAAACAGCATTTGCAAATAATTTTTAGCCAGTGTGTCTTCCTGTTCTGGGAGAACCAGATGGCTGATGTTGGCCACATGCACTTTGTAGTTTGTTACTTAGTTACTAACATTTCTTTGAGATAGAAGAGAAAATAATTGCTGTTTATGTTTCTATTTAAAGTTGTCAATTTAATCTTTGCGCTCTTGATCCTGTAATAATGGTTTTTAACAAGGAGTTATAGAAGTTTACAGGATATTTTAAATCAGAACACTTGTAACTGTAAGCAGTTGTTACTGTTTTTCTGATTGCATCACATATAGAAAAAGCTCTGAGGCCTAAAGTACTGTAGTGGAATGTTAGTGAAGAAGATGTGATAAATAATTTTGCAGCACATATATTTTGAAATTGAAACAGAAGATGTGAGGATAACCCTGGGGAAAGCTTCTGACAGCCCGCTGAGGCCTGCGACTACTCCCAGTACAGTGCCCCTTGGACACTGAACATATGGGAACTAAATGGCGAGCTGGGATGTGTGTGTCTGTTTGCATACATGTGTGTGTTTTTCTCAGGGCTGACAATGTGTAATGCATTTGTCATGCCAGCCAGGCCAAACAGGCATAAAAACCCTTTCTTCTTAATCGTGGCCCACAGGGTAATTTGGTAATGCTGATGGGACCTGTCATGCTTTTCTGAAAAGCCAGACAAGGAGGAAAAGAGAAGAATTATTCTTGCCTCGGTGGATCTTGGTTTCTCAGTTAGAAGTAGAAAATGGGTTTAATAGATATGTACATGGCCGTGTGGGTTCATCCGTATTGATTACAAGTTGCTTTCTTTAAGAGTTGAAGGAGGGGGAAACAAGCTCTCAAACCATAAGATGAAAGAAAAATGTATACTGACTGTTCTCTTTTATAGCAGCGTCATCATTACCTGTACACCGTCACACACAATCTGCCGTTATTTGAACATATGTCAGGTTAACTCAGCTTTTGGATGGTTGTTCAAAGATTCACTTGCATAACAAAGGGTGAAAAAAATAAGAGAGCCAGAAACACTTTTAAAGAAATCTACTGTAAAATGAATCTTATGGAGTCAGAATGGCATCGTCTACAGTGATTACCAACTGTGGTGCAAATTAAGGACAATTGCCTTCAGGTTGTCCCAGTTTCCAAACACTGCAGATCTACTTAACTTCCCACACCATGCTTTCACTTGTCTGGTTTTTCAGTTTTTTTCATTTCCACTGCAAATGGGTCTCACAGGAGGGACAGTAACATTTTATGTCACCTAGGTTTTCTCCAGGTCCCCACCACTTAATCCAAAGACATCCAGATGAGGTGGATTAGTCTACATTGCCCAAATGCCTTTGCCTGGTGTTGAGACTGGCAGTGAGTTCTGGGGTGGCCCAACACAGACTGAAATACAGTATGTTCCGGTCCCTGGTTGCTCTGAATGAACAATGAATGCACTTGATGTATTTTTCTATAATTTGTACACTATGATTATGTATTGTCCTGTTTGCCTTCAATGCCAGATTTCAATGCCCCAAATGGAGAATAAAGATTTTATTCTGAGCCTGAACTTGGGCTTGATGCCCAGTAATGGCTCCAGACAGTACTAAAAATAAGGTTGAAGATGCTAGTCAGTAACCAGAAAGAAGGCAACAGAGACATGTGTTCATTCAAATATAATAGTGCTTTTTTCTGCTCATGCTCTCCAGTGAACCCAACTAACAGTGTTTGTGAACGGAAAGCCAGTAAGGTGTCAGGGTTCACAACTTATCCATTGATTGTTTGCAGAGGTTTGTGCAAGAACCCCAACTGGCAACAAAGTGTAGCTGTATATTCCATGGCCAGCAACTGTTTATACTGGGAGAAACCAAGACTACAGCCATGTGTGGTGTTAGAGAGAAAGTCAGTAAAGGTTTGTAGGATTCGACATTGCCATTCCTACAGGCATATCGATGGCATGGCTAAAAAACACTGGATGCTGTGTTTGCAGTGTAACGATCCCGGAGAACATTACCATAGGCTTAGTACAAGCTCATTTGCATTTTGCAGACAAGAAAACAACCTAATTTCAAAAGTATCTGCAGTGTTGCCCCTCATTGTCCAGTTGGTGGAGCAGAACATGCTTTTGGAACTGAGTCAGCGCCTCCCAGCAGGCCTTCACCAATCAAAACCATTTGCATCAGGTGCCCATCTGCCTGGGGACACAGATGAAGCACACATGAACACACCTGCATACACTTCATTTCTGTTGTCATATCACAATCGCAGACCAGACATAATCATATAACTATGGAGATGTTGACAGTTACAACACAAAGTCTTTACTATAATTAGCCATAAAAGAGAACTAAAATGAATGTAATGTCATTAGTTGTTGTCCCTATTCTTTCAACAGTATGGTGTGTTTTTTATTGTTCTGAGGAAATAAGCGATAACAAAGGATCTATTTTTGTATAGATTTTCTTTTTGGAAAAGTAGACATAATGGTCAAACACAGGCACCCAGAATGATGCTACTGTAGAAACGCATGGTGGCAACCTTTTAGTGAGATGTTTGTTCAAATAATTAGCTTTTCCCTGTTTTACAGCATGAAAACAATTGTCTGGTACCCTTTCACATTTCTGATGCTCCAGTTTTTGTTTCCTAGAACCAACCCAAATGTTGTTGCCAACCCAAATTAGCCAAGATCCTACATACCGACTGGAAATACTATTAACTGCCATGGTAACACAGTAACTGCTCCAGGAGAGTGGTAATCTTTTTTCCCTGGATAGGATAATTTGACTTGTCAAGGTGACATTGTGAATGATAGTGCTGTTTTTATTATTGGTTTGAATTTTTGACCATGGACAAAACAAACAAATGACAAATAAGACACAATGACCACATGTATAAATACAATATGTGCAGCCACCTGCACTCACTCTTCTTCCTTCCGGCTCTTGCAGTGAAACCAACAGTCATCGATGTGGGCATATATGTCAACAGCATTGGGCCTGTGTCATCCATCGATATGGTGAGTTAAAGCATTCTCTCTCACCCACGTTTCTCCCCACACTCACATGCATTTCTCCACTGTCTGATATTAGCATCATCATACCTGAGTGCTTCCATTTCTCACACTGGATTTGGAGGTGGTGAGCCGCCACAGATGTAACGGTGGCAGAGGAAGCCAGGAAAGACAGGTGTGGGTGCTATATTTTGTCTTGTGGATCTGCTCAGATTAGGCAAATGAGTGAGTTTTAAAAACTTGAGAGAGCCATAGAGATTCTGCTATGAAAGCTCTCCACTATAAGGTTAGACAGCGTTTGTGTCTCTGTGGAGAGGAGAAGAGCTCCACTTGAAGTCTTGTTTTCCTACAGTTTCTTTTTTTTTAATGACTGGATCTTTTGCACCAGCATGAAAATTCCAAGAACAAAGTTTAACTAGAAGCAACAAAGGGTTTTGGAAAAACAGCAGAGGAAAATAGATAGTAATTTTGTTGTACAGGGCTGGACCAGATGCCATTAAACCTATGAGAAGCTGAAACTGAAAGCTGGATAAGTGATTGTCTGAAAAGTAGCTATTTTCTTACTAAGTAAAAGTGGTTTGTTGCCTGGCCTTGAATGCAGTGCAATAGACTAAACGGATGCACCCTTTCATTATGTATAGTGCAAAGGGCCTGTTCATTTGCTGCACTCAAATATGATATTTATTTTTCTTGCTTGAAAATTCCCTTTCAAGATGTATTTCTTTGCAAATATGAACTGAGCTAGACATGATAATGAAAGTGCTTTATCTCTGAACTTAACAGATTTCCTGATGTTGAGCCGTGACTGTTGCCTGGCAACATTAACTATTTCCAGATATAAGAGAAATTCTTTTCTTTTTTACTGTCGGCACTATTCTGCAACTAATTGTTATATTATTTAAGATTAGATTTGTGCTACAGGAAAACAACCCTGTTTATGTTATTCAGATAAAGGCTTGGCATTATGGACTAGCTCTTACATGACTTGTCCCAATGAACCCACTTAGTTACAGGCATGAGGCAATGGGCATTTAGGATGCCTCCCAAAGTGCTTTTAAGTAAATTATGTTTGGGAGGCAAAATTGTGTAGTCATAGTTCATTAAATTGTTGTTGTACTCCAACGAGAGTAACTTCAGTAAATACTGTGAGCTGTGTAGTTACTGTTGTGTACTATTACTGCACTATAATTATGTTCCTGAGCAATTGTAGTTACTGTAGCACCAACAGCAGTGACAGTACATAGTGTTTCTTGTGACCTTTTGTTTTGCCAGTTGGACACTTTTAATACAAATCCACAGCCACAACTTGATACAGCTATGACAATAAAGCTGATGTCAGTGAGATAAACATATGCTGAATTACAGGTTAAATAATTTCTTGTGAAGCCTCTGCACAGGAACGGCAGGAATCTATACAATGAGATTCTTGCACCAAGCCACTCTCCACTGGCTACTGCAAAAAAGCAAATTATAAATAGCATCAAAAAATTGGATTTGATTTAATCAAAGTGTGGATTATAACTACATTCCATGACAACAAAATGAATGGTCATACATTAGACAATACAGCACAATAGACAATAAGTCTAAGGGTTTGAAAAAAGCACACAGTAATCTCCCTAAAGAAACATCATCTTGAGACACAGTCTGTTGCAGGCTTATTTTATTGACTTGCCTTTCAGTGCATAGGTGCTGCTTTTACTCTACCCACCACCCGTATGTTGTGATTCGTACAATAAAATGATAACTTATATCAAACTGGCCATTATTCCTAATGACGCCTCTGCAGGGTGATTCAGAAATTGAATCGAAGGCTCTAGATAACACTGAGGGGGCTTATTTTATCCTGATGACTTATTTCCTGAAGGATCTTGCTAATCACATGGCTGCTTAGATATAAAACCAATAAAATTCTTTTAATAGCGACTATAGCAACTGAGATGTTCATAGTTAAAATCAGAACGATTTACAAGTGAACTTCCATAGAAGAACAACAACCTCAAAAACAGTCAAATCTTAAGTATGTTATTGCTTTTATGAAACATTTTCAGTGGCATCAAACAGTAGGAATTTATAACCTTTTATAATTTATGATTTTTCTGATCATGTACGTTTATTTTCTTGGTTTAAATTTGAGAGAATATAGTTGCTGTGAATTGAAAACTCCTGCAGCCTATAGTGGGTCAGTGGGGCTCGGCTCGCTGTGGGAGCCTGAGCTAGGTTTCAGTGGAGATCAGGATGCTGCTGTGACATTTCGGTGATTTTCCTCTGTGTAGGCACTGATTAGCTTCACTCTGTTAGGGCCAATGGACGCTGGTCAGTGGATTGTGATTCCCCGGCCCCCCAGGGGTTGACTGGACTGGAATTAGTGCAAAGTCACAAAGCTTTTATCTCTCTCCTTCTGCCTCCCTGTTGTCAAAGAGAAAACAAGTGGTGGCGGTGGTGTGGCATGAGTTGGCCTGTTTTTTCTTCTTCTAAAAGCTTTTCATTCAAACTACACTGCACTTTTCCTTGTGCTTGAGTCTTAATACATCATGCATCCTGAGACTTCTGTTTAGCTTGTTTGCTCCCTCTGTACATCCTGTGTGTGTGTGTGTGTGTGTGTGTGTGTGTGTGTATATATCCCAGTGTGTGTATGTGTGTGACTTCCAAATGGAAAACCAGGGCAAATCCCCAGCGTGTATCAGATTCATGATCCATATTGATCTCACACACTGCAGCTATCTCCAGCGCTGATGTTTTCAGTGACCAAACTCCAGGAAGCTTCTCATCTTCCTTTGAATAAAACACATTATCTTTCCTCATTTGCTCTGATGGTAATGATACCGACTGGGATGATGCAAAGTCAAATGAAGCTGATAGTAATTTAAGACATACTGTGATGAACGGTTGAGTGATTACATAGCATTAGTGGCCTTAAAGTCAAGCAAAACAGTTAGCCTCGATGGTGCTGGGAGAGTCTTCAGCCAGTAAATTAACTGACAAACATGGACACTCGGACACCAGCACTATGTTCTTATCATTGATACTTTAGCCAGTGAGTTTGTGGCATCTTGAATTTGCTGCTCTGCTAATGAACTTGTCAGTATGTATCAATTAGATGTAGAAATTATTAGGAACACCTGCTCTGTTCATGGGCTGGTCAAGTGGAAGCTATGATTCCCTATTGAAACCCACCTGACAAATGAAATGAGGTTAAAGAAGCTAAAGCCTTGACTAATGTGTGATTTATTATGAAAAATAACATGTTAGTCAATTTTTGTCTATTACTTTTATGTAAGCATGGAGTTGGGCTTATCATGACAAACAGTTGGTGCTAACTATCCAGTCAGGTGCCATTAAACCATTGTAGAAGAAAGCAACAGTCAAACCTGAAACAAAACATGATGGAAACTGACATTTATGTTTGTTTCCTCTATCAATTTGAGGAAGGTTACAGTCTCCCATGATATTTTTGTATAGGCACAAGTTTTTGTCTTTCCAGCTGCGTGTAAGCTTCTGTGGTGCAGAAGCTTAAATCACATTTCAAGTACATCATGATTAATTCATGAGTGACTAATTCACAGGCTGTTTCCATTGCATTAAATTTATCAAACTTTTTTATTGATACACTAACTTTTCTAACCCAGCCAAGCATAAAAGCTTTGCTGACACGTTCCTTCATTACCATGAAGGACACATACAGTGGCAGATGTGTATTAATCCACAGCTGAAAATAATCCCCAAAACTGCACTATTTCCTCCTGTTAAAGTAAGGTTTGCTAAAAACTACAGTGGCCAGCTGCTTTAGGAAATGCATTCTAAAAAATGAAAGACTATATTTTGTTATCTTAACTGTGGCCACTGGGCATGAGTTGTTGCCATCCGCCAGAGAGGACGTTCTTCCTTTCTAGCACCAGTGAAGGCTCTTCACTGCTCTCATCTGACTGAAGTGTCAAATCAGATCATTTTCACCTATGAGGAAGTGTTGGCCTGCTATTTATGGCTATGTGACAGTTGTATCGAAGCTCTGCTTTTTATCACATTCACAGAGAAAACGTACTATGTCTCTTTATATAAATGCTGCAAATTGCTCAAGGCTTGGTTGGTCATCATGTTGCTCTATACAGTAGATCCCATGTGGGTGGTTTGTTTAGTGCTACTCTCCAGAGGCGACTTTAAGCTGTAGTGATGTAAGGATATTGTCAGGTCTGCTCAGCGCGATCTGCCTCTCTTCCTCCTTTCCCTCTCAACTATAACAGATATGGTCTGACCCTTTTCTGACTTTCTCAGAGGTCAAGAAAAGCTCTCACTCACACTCACTAAAAGACTTCTCAGACTTTTCTTTTTATTAACTCACATGGCTGAGCAGAGAAACAGATGAATGCCTTCTTTAGTGTGAACAAACCATATTATATGTCAGGTATTTCTGCAGTATGTATCCAGTGCCACCAGTGCAGGTCATAACAATGAGTACATAATATTACACCCAATAATGGCTAGAATCAGGATTTTCTCCATATTGAAAGATATACTGTTTATTCTTGAATTTAGATAGCATACATGTTCATCTGTTTGTGAAGCCATGTAGTGTTGTTAAACAACAACTGATGCAAATCATGTTAGCTCCAATAGACACTTAGTTCTTGTAGAGGTGTTGTAGAGATTTTCTCTTAGGGCTGTACCCGATTAAGGATTTTGTCAGTCGACTGTCAGTTGGTTCTTCATTGCAACTACTTGACGATTCGTTCTTTGTCTTTCTCTTTCTCTCTCTTTCTATAAATTCCCCACTCGCCCCCCACTTTGGGGCGGTCTTATATTCCATACTTCAAGCTCGGGTCCTCTACCAGAGGCCTGGGAGCTTGAGGGTCCTGCACAGTATCTTAGCTGTTCCTAGCACTGCACTCTTCTGGACAGAGATCTCAGATGTTGTTCCTGGGATCTGTTGGAGCCACTCTCCCAGTTTGGGGGTCACAGCCCCCA